GAGGACAGAAATCTATTACTAGATCGCAAACTCATCCACATCCATACATCTTCAATGACAGACATATCAACAGCAATAGTGAGTTTATACATAAAAAACAAGTGAGGCAAAGGCAAAAGCAGTGTCAATCTGAGTGTAGGCAATGGTGCTTTGATTATACCCGTACAAACTCTTCAGTCCCTTTTAGTTATCCCCAACTCAGCTCTTAAGCCGTAGGTTTTTGCTGTGGAGAACTCAGATGTGATGTAGTCGTTTCAGTAACTCTTTCGACAGTACTGCACTTCAATACTGGGAATGGTTTCTAATCAATTTAAACTCACACGGAACTTTAGTAGAACAAGTTTATTACTCCCACTCAGTAGTTCCTGGGGGCTTTGATGTTAAGTCGTACATAATTCGAGAAATGCCAGGAATCTTCTTAATCTCAGTGACCATCTTTAACACCACCTGTTATAAAACAAAGATTGTAAATACAGAGACAGGGTCCACTGCATGTCCAACAGACCTAGAAGGCTTGCGTTTGTAATCTGAAATTAAAATGTGATCTATTTTTACTATAATCCTCTATGTATAGGAGATAGTCCCAGATTAATTCATGTAGTGACCCTTTATAGATTTAAGTGACTTAAACTCAACACTGCTCAAAGTGTAGTCAGCAAACTGGTGTCAATCTGCAAATTATGTTTATTACTGGTCCATAACAAGTGTTTAGAAACATTTATAGCAGTTTGACATTGCTGTGGCATCCAATCATGTGATTTTATGGGCTTAAGCCAATGCTTCACAAATGACCGGTGGCCTACAACTCCAAGGCCAACAAGATGGTACATGATGCACTATAGTAATAACCACTGCTGTGTGGACATAAGGAGGCCTGGTCACTTGACTGTCCAGAGAGACTTGGCAAATGTGAGCCTAAGGGAAAAGAGACTCTAAGACACATTCCCCTACCCAGCTATCTAGCTATAATCAGAGCCTTGGAGCAGTGGTCCAACTAATAAAGTCTGACTTTGATTTTTATTTGCTATCATGCAAATAGCTCCTTTGAAATACTCTGGTTGAAAAATAACAGGAGAGGGAGACGGTGATCAAAAGTGCAACTGACAGTAACAAGGGCATTAAGAAATTCAAGGGTGCTTGGCCATAATGCCGTCAAATCTCATCCTTGGGGGAAGGGTACAGCTCAGTGGTAGAGCACAGGCTTAGTCTGTATGAGGTCCTGGGTTCAATCCCCAGTACCTCTGTTAAATTAAAAAATAAATAAATAAACAAACAAACCTAATGACCTTCCCTGCAAAAAAACAAAAACAAAAAAATCTCATCCTTATTTCTGATAAACTCTTCTTCATTCCAAGGATTTTCTTTTTTACTTGGAGAATACTATTTATAAAGTAGAGGTTGGTAAGATTAGATAAAATGATAGATTAGAGTTGGTTACTCTCCACATAGTAATCAGAAATCTGGAGGGTTTTAATAAATGTAAGGCCTTTTCCTACTATAGTGCATTAAGCAATCAATTATGTGGAGATAAAGAAAAAAAAAGAACCTGTCTTGTGAACAGAAGACCAACCTCAGAAACATCGACACTGTCACAGCCTATCCCATTCACCATTACTGTAAAATGTATAAGGTATTAAAAATGTACATTAAGAAAAAATACATAAATTACCTCCACAGGGATCTCATTGCCAGGGGTTGCAGGTATACCAGTCATGAAATCACTAGTAATAAAGGTTCTAATAACCACAGATCTCTGGCATGAAGGCTGCTTCTGAAGTGGGTCCCGATCAAAATGTAATGGTGTCAAAATCACCGGCATCTGGCTGATTTTCCCAGCATACCCTAGAGAAATGAAGGTAACATGCAGAACCAATCACTACACCATGGAAAAGCACTCTAACCTAGTTCAATTAAATCCTCCCGGACAATATCTAAAATTGCCTACATACACACATCACTTCTTCAGGCTGTCATCATGTACTATTCTCAGTTACTCTCATAGCACTTTTAAGTAAACCCAATCACAAATACAAGTAACAGAATCTGATAACAGCAGTGGTATGTGACAGTGATGTGAGATATATATATATATACAGTCAATTCATTATTCATGGTAGTTATGTTCTGTACCGCAGACACTAAGTTAGGGAATACTGAACCACTACTCCTAGGGGAAACAGAGTTGGGTTCCTGCAGGCCTCTGGTCATAACATTTTCATCAACTGATCAATACACAACCTTGCTTAATGTGTGTTTCTGTTTAAAGACATCTTATTCAATATTTATTGTGGATTCATTAACATTGGACTCACAGCCAATAACACCATAACTCATGGCTGAATGAAGCTTATCTAACACACGTATTTTCTCAGTAAGGCACTGCACACAGCCTTCCTGTGCTTGGGGGACATTTTAAAGTGAAATCACCAGCAAAAAGCACAAAAATGCAAAAAACATGACCTTAGACTATAAAAAGGATACATGTTTATAGCAAGAGAGCTGAAACAAGAAGACAGAGGGTCGCCTTGTTCAGCCTCAGCTGGGAACATGCAAGTTGGGCAACTCAAATTTTCTGCCACTGTGTGCATGTTCACAGAAGACCACAAAGATGAATAAATTTTATATAGATAAGGCAGTATCAAAGAACTACCCACAGAATTAAATAATAAAACTAAAAGCTGCATCCTCCTACTAGACATTATAATGCCATGCTTCCAAAACCTAGTTAGAACGTGCAGTGATAAACAAAATGGGCAACCTACCAGACTCCCTGAGAATGTTATGGGCCTCAAAATCAGCTTGGCGTAAAGTACTGAGCACCCCCGTTGTCAAGAAAGTGGGAGTAACGTCTGTAGGAGGTTCTTTAACTGGAGGGCCAAATATATAGACAACTCTAGAAGTGGGGGAGGTGAAAATTATACAGAAATTATGTTTTAGTATGAGAACCAAGACACATAAAGTAACATTCTTTCCATTTATTCTTAGGCCTCTCTCTTATCCACTTCAAATCCCCAAATGAGTAGGACAGGATCTAAGATTATAGAAGGTCTATGCTCTATGCACCTTCTCAAAGTATATTCTCTGGTATACTCGTATCTCAGAATGTGCAAAGATTTTTGAGTATCACCATCATCTTTTCATATAATGTACTGGATTAAAGTAACCCCAGAACTTCATGTCCATCTGGAATCTGTGGATGGAAACAGGGTCTCTGCAATCAAAAAAAAGGTCATAATGGCTTGGGGGTAGGGAGGGCATTAATCCAATGATTGGTGGGTGTCTTTCTAAGAAAAAGGAAATCTGGAAACACAGACACACAGAGAAAAGAGGGCCATGTGAAGACGGAGACAAAGATTGGACTTAAACTGTCACAAGTCAAAGACTGCCAGCAAACACCAGAAACCAGGAAGAGGCAAGGAAGGATCCTTGCCTAGAGTTTTCAGAGAGAGCACAGCCCTGCTGACACCACCCTTGATTTCAGACTTCTGGCCTCCAGAAATGTCAGAGAATAAATTTCTGTTGTTTTAAGCTTTCTAGTTTGTGGTAATTTGTTACAGTAGCCCTGGGAAATTAATCCACATAAGGCTGGGGAATCAATGAATAAACAGGTTTTATGACAAAACTTCAGAAACTTCAATATGCTAGTATGCACTGGAAACCTCCAATATGAGGCTACAGTGAATTGCCCAAACTTAGTTGGCTGTCAACTCAACCTCTTTTATCATTTTGGGAAACACTAATCCAAGAAAGATTCTTATTTCCACTTTATTAAAAATGTCACCAAAGTAAGATTTGGAATCTTACTATTTCCTTCCAAAAGAAATGACT